CAGTTCATTTTTTTAAGAAAAATACTATATAATCAAGAAGACTCAAGCAGCTAAAGGAGTAACAAAAATCACATATGAGAAATAAAGAACATCGAAGAGTTCGTAATGGAACCTGAAATGGATCTGATGACAAAAGAATGCCAAGAACTCTTGAATGAAGAACACCAAGAAACTCGGCGAGATATGTTTTCTTCTGAAAATGCGGACTTATGCCGATATCTGCTATTAAAGATCTTGTAAAGAAGTGGGATGATGTCAGAACAATGGTCTTAAAATGGTATCCAAACCAGGTTGAGGCTTGGGGATTTCTACAATTGCAATGCCATTAATTACTTACAAAAAATCCTGAAGAAGAGAGAAAAGCAATCAACATTAGACAGATCCTTTAACCCTTTCAAAGTGAAAAAACATGACTTATTAGTCATGTTTCTTCAGTTTAACGCAAGACTGTGTACGTATGTATTTTTATTATTACATATAAATAAACGTAGTAAGAAAGTATAGCCTATATTTTTTATTTTGGGGAGTCTCCAGAACGAATTAATCAAATTCCCATTAAAACCTATGGTAAATCAATAATCGGTTAACGAACAATTCGGATAGCGAACAAAGTCTTGGAACGGATTATGTTCGTTAACCGATCACCCACTGTACGTGTCAAAATTCCCCCCACTGAAGGGAGATGGTTAGAATTAAGGCTTACCGTAAAGAACTCTGCTTCTATTTATTCTATTTTAGATGCGGTTTTTTGCATTTTAATAGGGTATGTCAACAGAATGTACACTAAGAAGAAATTTTTCGAAAAATTCCCCCCCACGGGGAAGTGTTATAAATTTATAATAGATACATTTTGAGCCACAACAACGCGTGGCGGGGTCTGCTAGTGTTAGTATATTTCTGATGATAAATAAATTTTGAATGTAAAATGTTTAATCAAATTTACTTTTGTATTCTATTTAAACATATGTTAATAATTTATACACATTACTCTAATAATTTACTTATTGAAGTTTAATTGTTTTCATATAATTTTACTGTTTTATTCTGACTGTGGCCCCCAAAGTTTGTTCTGGCTCTCCAAAAAATGATTTTTGGCTTGTGGCTCACTTGAAATGTTTCTCAACCAGGCTCTGAGACCCCAAGGGGGCCACATGGCTCTGGTTGAGAAACACTGGCCTAGGGCACTTTTGAAACAGTCTAAAAAGACTGTTTAGGTTACAAAGTTTGCAGCTAGACTGCATGCTCAGGCCATGTCTATGACCCCATATGGTTCTCTTGAGGATGTATTAGGTCTTCCAGATCTGCATCTGTTCATTCAGGCTGGAGTAAGGCGTGCCCTTTATAGGCTCAAGTGTACTGATCAATTGCTCTACTGAAGGATATGATAAAAGATGATGATGGGTTTTGACAGAATGTTACCTCAGTTTATATTTGACAGCCATTATCTGGTTTCCTTACCCACTCACCTTGACTGGCATATGGGTAAGGTGACCTTTCATTCACAGGATATAATGTGGTTAGGTTAGATATAGGTTTACACACAGATCCAAAATTACAGCGGCACAAGTGTAATTTGAGCATAAATGACTTTTTAATAAAACTAGCTACATTGTTTCTGACTAAGTATTTTTCTCTTATGAGTGCTAGGACATGAGGATAAGTGATTTACTAGTCAACAGGGTGTTTCTTATAACTTTGTAGGTTCCACACCAGCTCTTGGTATTCCTTATACTTTGAGTTTTTAAAGATTAGAATACCTTCAATCAATCATTCTAAGAATGTTAACTTCCTGGTTTAAAGCAAAACAAGACATTTTGCTAAGCAATGCTATCCAGGCAACTAAAATATTTCCAGTCTTTTGATAGAAATTATGTTTACCTTTTGGTCAGTATTGTGATCAGTTTAGTACACTTCTGTACACACTTATGCTGACAAACTTTTTTCTTTGGCCTCTTGCTGCTTTTGTGAAGCTGCTGAGGCAACTCCTCTGCATCTCATTTGTGAATATGCAGTCTCTGCTCAGGTAGACTTGTTCATCTGGATTCTAATTTGTTGAGCCCTGGTGAAGTCCCTTAGCTTTCCTTCAGAAGTCTGCTGTCTTTTTAAAAAAGAGATCAGATTTCTGAAGTAATTTCATGGTGTACACAAAGGACCTTTTAGTTGACCTAAAAGTATATTTGGCCTAATATAGCACCCTCAGGATAAAAGGAAAAAAAACATGTTGATGGAAAAAACAAGATGTAGATTATACATGTGGTAGTCCCAGGTGACAAAAGGGTGAAGAAAAAACAATTACAGAAAGTAACTAAATACAAGGACTGTAAATTGATTTGAACAATTGTGAAAGATGATAGTCATAGTTCCAATTTTAGTTGGAGTTCTAGAAGTCATTCAAGAAATATATGAAGAAACTAGAGCATGATAGAATTGATATCCATATGCTAAAAGGTTGAACTATTGGAACAACATGTATTTCACATAAATACCTCTGAACATTCCATCTTAAGTATAGGATTGGGAGACTGTGGGAAGGACTATATTTAAGACCCAAATCCAGTCAAATAGTTGAGAAATGTATTTTTGTTGTTGTTGTTGTTATTATTATTATTATTAAAGGATCGTAAGTAACAGATGTAAATATAAAAGTAAAATTATTTTCAAGAAACAACAATTACAATTGATACCAAATTTTGATAAATTGCTTTTGATAAGAAAACTTTAATAGCATCCGAATCTAATTAAAAAGAGAACCACCACCAACTGAATGAGTTATCAAAATAACAATTTCATAACCTTTTCAATCATATTTTATTATTGTTATTTATATAAATACTGTAAGTGAATCTCCAACTTTGTAAAGTATCATAAGCAGAACAGATTGTTAAATACATCAAATTCCATATTATCCATGTATCGTCAAGATATTTTATCTATCTTGTCAATGGACAGTTTAAAGAATGGGAAATTGTACATTCATCATCAGTGTATAAGCAATAGACTTTCAAGCTTTCAAGCTCAACTGACATTCCAAGAAACAATCTAAAACATTTATGGGAATTGTCTTGAATTTACAAATGAAACTTTAGAAATTTGTTGAGAGAATACAAATGGAGGGTAGAAAAAATATTTATACACTATAAATAGTTAAAAAAATATTCTATTAGACCTAAAATCAAAATACAGTAATTTGGTAAAAATGTAAGATTTGTTTTTTGAAACCATGTCCTGTTTTATAATTGTGGCATAGTAAACACAATACTAGTGTTTACTATGCTACAAAAAAAATGTAAGAATTACACAAAAACACAAAATTTTAATTTCTACACATTATTTTTGAAAATAAAAGGACTATTTTTGGATTGTGTTTTTCCTCTTTCTATGCACACCATGGACTAATTAAATTAAGTTGGATAATCAGAGGTTTGGTATTTTTAATCTTAAATCTAAATTTTTTAAAATAATTACTTAACATCCAAAATTTTAGTCAAATATTAAAGTTGTACTATGTACTACTTACCATTTTATTTATTTTTGTACTGATGTTTTATGATCACAATAGAAAAAAATTTTTACATGAACATTTTTACACATAGCATTTACATTATATATAGAAAAGTTTGCAAATTATTTAAGTCATTGATAAATAATATTACATTCTAATTCTACTTCTAGACATTTTAAAGTAAATTTCTCTGAAGATTATAACACCTTTTTACCCTAGCAATTATTTTTATTTTTGCAGACTTTTTGGGGCATATTAAACCATCTTTATGCATAAGGGTGTTTAATATGCATGAAAATATTTGTAAAAAATAAAAATAAATGATGGAAAATATGTGATAATCTTTACTTGAATGACAAGTACTTGGTACTTAAGTTAAATTTCTCTAATTACAAAATTTGAAATGATAATTGAACTATTGCATAAGTATAATTTCTACCATTTGTGATCCTTCCTCTTCTTATATAAAGAATCATAAGCATTGCGTTAAACTTTCCTAAATTTTTATTTATTTTTTTAATGATTATTATAAAAAACAGGAATAAACTATATAAACAGATATTGCAATAGCAATTTGGTAGATTATATTGACTTTACATCATCTCCACTATTTAAATAATCAGAAGATTTTCTTCACTTTCCATTCCATTCAAATGCTTACGCAACATGTGAATATCCTTCTAACAGTTTTGTATCAAATCTCATCTTTAAGACAAAGTATTCATTTTTTAATTTTTTTATTGCCATAAACATTACATTTAGATTATTTACAGAATCTAATTAAAAAGAGAATCACTACCAACTGAATGAGTTATCAAAATAATTTCACAACCTTTTCAATCAGTAAATACTTTAATGCAAATAAAGCTAACATTTTCTTCAAAAGGTTCCTCTTCTACTCCCCTAGATTTCTTTGCATTGCAAGAAGGGTTGAGATAAACTGGAATAATACAACGGTGCTTAGATCAATTAGGAAAAATCTCTTCTAAATTATCTGGAATGCTTAGAATATGTAAGTTGACAATCAAAGGTGCATCAATAAATTTTAGAGATGAGAGCATGATAACTCCTTTTTTATTCTGGAAATCTCTTAACTGTATTCTTGCATCGATTTAAGTGTATTTTTAACAACTTCATTCATTCATTCATTTTAACTTTGTGTTCAAGAATGATGTTTCTTTTCCACTGATTATAAATGTACTGTACATTATTCCAAAGATGACTGTTTAAAATAGTCAAAACTATTAGCTTGATTTACATTAGTGTTGACTGATTGAAATGGTGAGAGATTGTTGTTTTAATCAAAACCATTTTAGATTAAACATAATTAAATCTATTCTATTTGTTTTATAATAATTTCAAAACAAAACTTCTAAAATAAAATTTGTTTTCAAATAATTCAATATGTAATGTCTATTGTTTTGACACTACCTATGCTTTTTATATATTATGATTTTAATATTTTTCAAAAATATATTAAAATTTGAATTATACATACCAGTGCACTTTTTCCTACACCACCACTGCCAAGAACTACAATTTTGTATTCTCGCATATTGAGAGATGATCTCTAATTTGCTATATTAAAAAAATAAAAAACAAAAAACTTTCAAATTTAAAATGAAAATATTTCATATAAGTCTAATTTATCAATAAATATTAGTGATGGGATGATTAATCAAAATCAGGAATCAGAAAAATTGGACATTTTTTGGATATTGGAATCAAGCAAATCTCCTCTTCACAATTTCCAATTCTTAAAATGATTTTTCCACATTTAACAAGAAAATTAATTAATTATTTCAGTTTAGGATCAAAAATTTTTTAAATTATGATATTGATAATTAAATATTAGTTTATTGGAAGCTTTCACAAAGCAGAGAACATGCAACAACCCACGCATTAGGTGACATCTATTGTGGTGGACTTTTCTTTCATGTAGTCAGAGTGATAAGAGATCATACTCAGCCAGAACTAACTGTCTCCATTTTAGGGGAGATTAGATGGCAACCCAAATGTCACTCTGACAGCTTGACCAGCAGTTTCAAATCAAGGCTGGTGATCAACAAAAATATTTAAGTGTCAGCTAAACAATTTAAAATATAAACAAAATTATATTTAAATTGAAAAAATACTAAATATTAAAAATGATTTTATATAATATGTTTACTTATAATTATAAAATGCTTAAACAACACCTTAAATACTTTTTTTCAGCAACACTTTAATTTCTTTAAAACAAACATTTTTGTTTGTTTAAAGAAAAATTGTTGAAATTAAAGAAACATTTTTGTCTTAGTTGGAATCTTCTTGTTAAACCTGATGCAGACCTATGGAAAGAGGTCAAAAACATTTGTTTAAAAAAATTAAAGTGCTGCTGAAAAAATATTCAAGATGTTATTCAAGCTAAATTAGTTTCAGCTTATATATCAATAGAATTGTTTTTGTCATGATTCACAGATGATACTGTGAATCATAACAATTGCAATAAGTAAAAATTATTTGTGCTAAATTTACTGCCGTCTTGAGTTTAAAAAATTGATTTTTCAAGACGAATCAGTCTAGGCATTTGTTTGATTCTTCTTTACTCAAAAAATGTTCATGTAATTATACATTTAGGAAAACCTGGCTCAAGTGAATAAATTCAAAACTTGGTTAACTCATAATAATGATGATATTTGTTCAGCTCATTGTATCATTTGCCAAACCTCATTTAGTGTTAAATAAGATTATTGTGAGAAGCATGAAAAATAGTGTGCATCTTCTCACTTACCTTCCCCTACTTTAGAAACTGCTTCATTGCATCAGCCAATGAAGCAGTTTCCAAAGATGGCAGATTTTAGATGACATGGATGGTGGGATAGTTTTTTTGAGTAAAAGGAAATTAGCTGTAATTTCTTCGGGGTAATGTTGCAATATTAACTTTATCTGAAATAAGATTACAAATTAATTTTGTAGTACACAATAAAAGCATACATATCCACATATAAATGGAGAATTTTCATGTTTCTTTCTAAAGATTGATTCTGGATTTCCCAATTGTTTTCCCACTCTTAAGCTTAATGTTTATTTATTAATGAATGTACCATGATCTTAATGTAAATCATTAATTTTTCTACACAATGTAAACTTTAGAAACTATTCAAAAGAATTGGAATTGTATCAGAATCAGGAGTTTTCAGCAGAATTGAATCAAAATTTGAAGAAATTTTGTTATCGGTCCCATCACTAATAAATATACTATTGAATTATTTACATGTAATTTAATTTTACATTATATTTTGATATTTTTCTTTTTTCACTAATTAACAACATACAGTAGAGCATCGATTATCCGAATCAATTGGGAACTGGGGTTGTTCGGAAAACTGATTATGTACAAAAAAATATATTAACCTATCTGTGTTGAGATTCATTCAAATCCTGGCACGTCCTTAAGTACTCTCTCATGGTCACACCAGTGTTTCCAGCTAAAATATGCACACCAACAAAAATAATATTGGAGTAGCCCAAGACATAGCCAAAGATTGCAGCACCACAGCACTAGCAGAAATTTAAATTTGCTGACTGGAAAGCTTTCAGTTAATTGATGTTTCGGTTGATCGACATTCGGATAAATTGATGCTCTACTGCATATTCAAATAAGAAAAATTATTTACTTTATACAAAGGTTATACTGAAAATACTGTTTTAAAAATCTTTACCAAGCTGCTATTGTGCACAGTAACAAGGATGAGTCTATATTAATACATGAAGAATACAGGATATTTAAATTTAATCTAATACTTATATATAAAAAGAATGTTTGTTTGTTAGAGGTAATCCCAAAATTTACCAAACCAATTTTTAAAATTCTTTCACTATTGGAAAGCTTATTCCTTCCAGATAAACTTAGGCTATATACTCTTCTCAAACTGCACTTACTTAAAAATAATCACTTATTAACCTTTAACATGCAGTCTTTTTTATTAATGTAATCTAACGTTAGATTATGTTAATAAAAAAAAGTTGTTTGAAGTGCTGAATTAAATACTAAATAAAGCTTGAGTTGTGATTCAAAGGATTATAGACTCAAATGAGGGGAAAAAGAGAGAAAGAACAAAAGATAAAGAAGTAAGAAAGGTTGGAAAATTAAGGGTCAATATTTGCATAACAGAAGATCTATTTAACCTTTCTCACTACTTTTTATCTTTTGTCCTTCTCACCTTTCTCTCCTTTTCCCAAATTTGGGTCTATAATCCTTTGAGTCACAACTCCAGCTTTATTTAATAATACTTCCTCATTCACACATCTCCAAGTATTTGTAAATATTTCCTTTCCACTCAAAAACAAAATATGAATAAAGGTTTACGGTTTTGTGAAACTTCTTTTTTGAGTTTATGCTGTTGAAATAAATAAATAATAAAAAAATTAAAACATTTGTCAGTTTTGTTTACATGTTTATTGGGCCGCATGCAGCCCACAGGCTGCGGGTTGGACACCCCTGGCTTAGGCAGTTGTTTGGGGAGTGGCTGATGTAGTGCTGTCTTCCATGTTTGTTCTGTTTGTTGCATTTTCTGTTTGTCCTTTTTCTGTTGCCAATTACTGTGGAATTCACCACCCATGTTTTTGCCACGTGTATGCCAGAAAGGGAGATCCTGGTAGTTGAGGAGCAATAAAACATCCCAAGCATGCTTCTTTGGATAAATAGAAGGCTCAAACCAGGCTCAGTTTGAGTCGATTGGCTAGTCATTAAGTCCTTTTGGACCTCGGTTCAGAGTCAACTGATCAGTTTACGTTAGATAGATTAGTTTTCTGCCTCGGTACATTGAGGATATATCTCTGAAGAGACCCTGATGTGTTAGTAGGTGTTGCTTATGCACATTGCATGGAATTCCCTTGTTGAGCTCAGTAGTAGGTAGGGTCACCAGGAGTTCAAATTTTTTTAAATTATGGAGTCATTAACAAAAACAACCATGTACTGATCTTTCTCAACCTGTGAAGCCACACTTTCTAATTTACATTCAAATACTGAATGTATGTTGGGGGCTCTATCCCCGTTCTAATCCAAAAGTTGAGTCTGCCATTGGCAACCCTCACAAAATTCAAAAGTTAAAACTTGGTATTTTGTCAAAACTGTCCGATATGAAGAATTCCTGACAATGATGATGTTAAGCAATATCCCAATTATCATTTATCCTCAACTTTTCTAATGGGGTGATATCAATAAACAATCTCCTCTCCAAGCCAGAAGCTTTAATTCTTGATGGACTATCTGCTCAAGGTATAGTGGCAGTCCATTGTATTAACATTCATCAAGACAGGCAACAGATTGCCACAAAGAATGCCATCCTGACATTTAACATCCGAGTTACCTTCTTTTGTGATTGCTTGATACCTATGATACTTAGTTCCTCCTTATATATTGAATCTGCTGTGCTGTTATCAATGCCAACAGTCTGGCCATTCAAAGATATCATGCCGTGGTACAAATCTTTGTGGAAAATGTGGTTTTTCAGGCCATGAAAGGTACCACAGGAAATGCTGACCCTTGTGTGAACGTCAAGGGAATGCATCCCTCCTATTTACGTACTGTACTTGCCCCTTGTGGCAGCAGGAAAAATAAATTCAAGAAGTAAAAACCTTAAGGAACATTACCTTTGTTGAGGCCAGAAAGATTGTAGTGCATCCAATGATACATCAAGACTTTGTATGCTGCAGTAACCAAATCTATCCAATCAATTGCTGTTCAAACAAACACTTCTGTACTATTACATGAATCTTACATGAATCCATGATGCAACATGAGAAATGCCAGATAACTCAAACTAATCCCAAACCAAAACTATTTCTACTGTAAATCATCGAATAATACACACAAATGCTTCCAATCCTTCAAGACAGCAAAAAATTCTTAGCTAAAAATCTCCAAGCAAGAGTGGTCTCAAGAGATAATATCAGATAAGCTACTCTCCATGAGTGAATTCTCAAGAGACTCCAAAGCTGGAGAGGATATGCATATAGTAGTCCCCAGTATTGCCTTCATGTTGGAGCAAAATGAAAATAAGGAGGGATGTGACACGGGCTAAACACACCATCTGAATGGCCACAAAAACTCATTTTATCATACATATATATTTACCATTTTTTAAGGCTTTATTATTTTTAACATATCAATGTATTACATATTGTTATTGTATACTAGCTGCTTCCTTTACAAGCAATATTTACTTTTTATATATCTATTAACCTTTATTATATGGTTGATGCAGCATGACCCTTTTCAGATACTAGTATTTTAAGAGAAGTTTGAATCTTTTTGGCTCTTGATTTTATCAATTTGTTTTATTATTTTAGTTTTATTTTATATTAGCTGCTCCCATGTTATGAGTGCATTTTAACCTTTATTATACACTTCTACTTTTCTGTTTTTTTTTAATTATTTTATGAAGCTTTTAGTGTTTTTATACTATTTTTGTACTTGTTTACATAGTCTTATGATTTTAGTTGGTTAGTGATAAGTTTATCATACATATATATTTTGCTTTTTTAAGCCTTTCTGGCTATTATGATTTTACCAAGTTGATATTTTACTTTAAAATAGCAACACAAAAGGTACTAAAGAACAT